TCTACAGGAGACACTTAAAAAGGTATTAAGCATAGAAGGGAGGAAAAAAAAAAAGAATGACCACATACTTCCCAAGAGAACAACAGAGCACAGAATAAACAGAGAATATAGCACAACAAGAAACTTGAAAACACACACATACATTTACCCCAAAGCCAAAAGAAAATAAGCACACAAAGAAAAACCTTTATAAGAACTGCATGACAGCGATAAACAATCACATTTCAATAATCAGCCTGAAAGTGAATAGATGAAATGCACCACTGAAAAGACACAGCATGGCAAACTAGATAAGAAACCATGACCCAATTATTTGCTGCATACAGGAGACTCATCTCACTTCAAGGGATGCACACAGACTCAAAGTTAAAGGATGGAAAACGAATTTCCAGGCAAATAGATCACAAAAGAGGGCAGGAGTTGCAATCTTAACATCAGACAAAACAACCTTTAAACTATCAAAAATTTAAAAAGATGCAAAAGAACACTATATAATGATAAAAGCTTCAATCCATCAATAAGAAATATCCATCCTAAACACACATGCACCCAACACAGGAGCACCAGCATTTATAAAGCAATTACTAAATAGCCTAAAAAAAGTTATTGATTCTAACACTATTATAGTAGGGGAATTGGACACCCCACTAACAGCCCTAGATAGATCATCAAGGCAAAAAATCAACAAGGAGGTCCAGAACCTAAACTTGACACTCAACTAAATGGACTTAATAGATACCTACAGATTATTCCACCCAACAACCACAGAATATACATTCTACTTATCACCACATGGAGTGTACTCCAAGATTGATCACATCCTTGGCCATAAATCAGGCATAATCAAATTCCAAAAGGTTGAAATCTTGCCATGCCTACTATAAGACCACAGTGGAATAAAAATAAATATCAGCACCACAAAATTTCTGCAAAGCCCACAAAAACATGGAAAATAAACAGCATGATGCTGAACAACTACTGGGTCAACACCGAAATCAAAGCAGAAATTAAAAGATTCCTGGAAACAAATGAAAATAAAGAAACATCTTACCAAAATCTCTGGGATTCCATGAAAACAGTTCTAAGAGGGGAATTTATATCTCTATGAGCATGATCAGGAAAATGGAAAGATCACAAGTCACCTAAGGGAGCTGGAAAGAGAAGACCACCAAACCCCAAGTTTAGCAGAAGAATCCAAATCACCAAAATAAGAGCCCAAATACGGGACATAGAAGACAAAAATATCATAGAAAACATCAACAAAACAAATAACTGGTTATTTGAAAGAATTAACAAGATTGATGGACCCCTAGCCAGAATGAACAAGAAAAAGAGAGAAAAAACCCAAATAAACACAATCAGAAATAAAAAGATCAAATCACAACTTATCCCAAAGAAATACGAAAGACTATCAGAGATTACTATGTACACCTATATGGAAAGAAACTTGAGAAACTAAATGAAATGGAAGACTTTCTGACATCACACAACCTCCCCAGGTTGTAATAAGAAGACATTGAGACACTGAAAAGACCAATAATAACCCAGGAAATTGACTCTGTCATATGAAAACTACCTACAAAAGAAGAGCTGTACCGGATGGCTTCCCAGCAGAATTCTACAAAACATACAAGGAGGAGCTGATCCCAATCCTATTGAAAGTATTCCAGGCAATTGAGAAAGATGGAATTCACCCCAAACCATTTTACGAAGCTAACATCACACTGATACCCAAACTGAGTAAAGATCCAACAAAAAAAGAGGACTACAGACCAGTATCCCTTATGAACAAAGATACAAAAATCTTCAACAAGATTCTAGTAAATCAGATCCAAAACAGATCATAAAAATCATCCACCATGACCAAGTAGGCTACATCCCCAGGATGCAGGGCTAGTTCAACATTCGCAAGACCATAAATGTAATTAAGTACATCAATAGATGTAAAAACAAGAACCACATGATTATATCATTAGATGCAGAAAAAACTTTGACAAAATCCAGCATCCCTTCTTGATAAAAACCCTCAAACATCTAGGGATAGAATGAACACACCTCAAAATATAAATGCCATCTAAGATAAACCCATAGCTAACATATTGCTAAATGAACAGAAACTGGAAACATTTCCCCTGAAAACTGGAACAAGACAAGTCTGCGCACTCTCACACCTCTTGTTGAACATTGTGTTGGAAGTCCCAGATAGGCAATTAGACAAGAGAAGGAAATCTGGGGTATCCAAATAAGAAAAGAGGTAGTCAAGTTATCTTTCTTTGCTGATGATATGATCCTATACTTTGAAAATCCAACAGAATCTGTCAAAAACCTGCTTGCACTGATAAAGGACTTTGGCAAAGTCTCAGGGTACAAAATAAATGTGCCAAAGACAGTTGCGTTCCTATACACCAACAACAAGCAGGCAGAGACCCAAAGTAAAAGCAAAATCCCATTCACAATAACCACAGAAAAAATTAAATACCTCGGCATCTTCCTAACCAAAGAAGTGAAAGACCTTTACGATGAGAACTACAAAATGCTGCTCAAAGAAATCCAAGAAGACACAACATATGGAAAAATATTCCAAGCTCATGGATAGGAAGAATCAATATTGTTAAAATGTCCATCCTAGCAAAGGCAATCTACAGATTCAATGCAATACGCATTAAGTTACCAACATCATTCTACTCAGACCTGGAAATGACAATACAGAAATTCATATGGAAGCATAAGCGACCACGAATAGCCAAAGAAATCCTTAGCAAAAGAACAAAGCAGGAGGTATCACACTTCTAGACTTCAAACTTTACTATAAAACTACAGTAATCAAAACAGCCCAGTATTGGTACACTTAGACCAATGGAACAGGATAGAGATTCCGGAAGCAAAGCCTCAATTTCTCAAACAACTCATCTATGACAAAGCCTCCAGTAGCAACCACTGGGGAGAGGAGAAGTTATTCAGTAAATGGTGCAGAGAAAACTGGCTGACCACATGCAGAAGATTGAAACAGGACCCTTAAATATCACCATACACAAAAATTAACTCTAGGTGGATCAAAGACCTAAACATAAAACCTCAAATATAACAATCTTAGAAAATGCAGAAGACACCCTTATGGAAATTGGAACTGGCAACCAATTCCTATTCAGAACCCTAAATGTCCATAACTTAAGAAATAAGATAGACAAGTGGGACCTCATCAAACTAACGAGTTTCTGCAAAGCAAAAGAAACATTCAAGAGAGCAGGGAGACAGCCTGCAGAATGGGAAAAAATATTTGCCAACTCTATATCTGACAAAGGCCTAACATCTAGGATCTACAAGGAACTCAAATGCACTGAAAGGAAATAAACAAACAGTCCCATTAAAAAATGGGCAAAAGACATGAATAGATACTTCTCAAAAGAAGAGATACAGGTAGCCAACAGACACATGAAAAAGTGCTCAACCTCACTCATAATCAGAGAAATGCAAATCAAAACCACATTGAGATACCACCTAACCCTATTAAGAATGGCCATCATTAATAAAACAAGCAACAACAGATGCTGGCGAGGATGCAGAGAAAAAGGAACGTTTCTACACTGTTGGTGGGAATTCAAACTAGTGCAACCTCTTTGCAAGACAGTGTGGCGGTTTCTGAAAGAACTAGAAATTGACCTTCCATATGACCCAGTAATTCCCCTATTGGGAATATACCCAGAGGAACTCAGATCATTCTACAAATAAGATACCTGCACACATATCTTTGTTGCAGCTCTATTCACAACAGCAAAAACATGGAACCAACCGTGTTGCCCATCGAAGCTGGACTGGATAAGGAAAATGTGGTACATATACACAATGGAATATTATGCAGCCATAAAGAAGGACCAGCATATGGACTTCGCAGCAACTTGGATGGATCTAGAGTCGATCATACTCAGTGATCTATCAAAGAAACAAAGAACAGATTACCATATATTCTCACTCATAAGCGGACCTTGAACAATTATAATAGAATAAGAAAGGGATTGGCAGTTGTGGGAAACTGCTAGGGGAAGGAGAGGCATCAACAGGGTACCTGCATAATCAATATTTGTATAACTAACCCTGAATCATATGCCACATCTTTATAATAAAAAAAGAAAGTAGAGAGTAAGAAGTTAAATATATATATATATTATAAATCATAAAACAACCGCTAAAATAACAAAGCTAAAAATGTAACTAAGCCAACAAAGAAGACAAATAAAATGATTTTTAAAAATCTAAAAGAAGGCAGAAAAGAGAAAAATGGAAACAAAGAATAGATGAGACATAATAAAGAATAGTGAGATGATAGTTTTAAACTCAGCCACATCAATAATTACATTAATGTAAATGTATATGCTGCCTACAAAAATGGACATTAAGTATAGAGACACAAGCAGGCTAAAAGTAAAAGGATGTAGAAATATATATCATGCTAACTCTTGTAAAAAGAAAGCTGATAACTATATAAATATCAAAGTATATTTCAGAATAAACATAATTATTGCCAGGAATAAGAGGTAATATTATTCTTAATTTAAAAGGGTCACCTTAGCAAATGGATATAGTACTCCTTAATGTTTATATACCTAGTAACATCGTTTCAAATGAAACAAAGAAGACATAGATATGTCCACAATTATTGTCAGAGATTTAAAAACTCCTCCCTCACTTATTACAGGACAAATACATAGAAAATCAATAGGGATACAGATTTTGAAAAATATCATCAACCAACTTACCTAATGAACAATATGGAACACTTTATCCAATATCAGCATAATACACATTTTTATCAAGTACACACGGTGCACTTATAAAGACAGACTCTAGTATCCACAAATTTTAAAAAGTGTCTCAAGTCATACAAAGTAACTCTCTGATGACAATGGAATTGAAATAGAAGTTAGTAACAGAGGCCCTCTGCTGCTCCTGTTCGATGGACAACGGGTCTCTGGTGCAGCGCCAGCCGCGTCGGTGGAGACACCATGGCGAAGGTGTAGGTCGGAGTGAACGGATTTGGCGATACCAGGCACCTGGTCACCAGGGCTGCTTTTAACTCTGGCAAAGTGAATATTGTCGCCATCAATGACCCCTTCGTTGACCTCAACTACATGGTGCACATGTTCCAGTACAACTCCACCCACGGCAAGTTCCAAGGCACCGTCAAGCTTGAGAACAGGAACTTGTCATCCATCAAAGTCCCATCACCATCTTCCAGGAGCGAGATCCCAGCAAAATCAAAAGGGGCGACACTGGCGCTGATTATGTGGTGGAGGCCACCGGTGTCTTCACTACTTTGGAGAAGGCTGGGGCTCACCTGCAGTGGGGAGCCAAAAGGATCATCATCTCTGCTCCCTCCGCCGGGGCCCCCATGTTTGTGATGGGTGTGAACCACCAGAAGTACCAGAACAAACTCATGATTGTGAGTAACGCCTCTCGCGCCACCAACTGCTTAGCCCCCTGGCCAAGGTCATCCGTGACAACTTTGGCATCGTGGAGGGACTCATGACCACCATCCACGCCATCACTGCCACCCAGAAGACTGTGGATGACCCCTCTGGGAAGCTACAGTGCCACAGCTGCGCGGCCCTCCAGAACATCATTCCTGCGTCCACTAGGGCTGCCAAAGTCATGGGTAAGGTCATCCCTGAGCTGAACGGGAATGGCCTCCCTTGTCCCCACTGCCAACGAGTCTGTCGTGGACCTGACCTGTCGCCTGGAGAAACCTGCCAAATAGGACGACATCAAGAAGGTAGTGAAGCAGGCATCCAAGGGTCCCCTCAAGGGCATCCTGGGTGACACTGAGCACCAGGTGGTGTCCTCCAACTTTAACAGCGACACCCACTCTCCCACCTTTGATGCTGGGGCTGGCATGGCCCTCAACGACCACTTTGTCAAGCTCATCTCTTGGTATGACAATGAATTTGGCCACAGCAAGAGGGTGGTCAACCTCATGGGCCACGTGGCCTCCAAGGAGTAAGAGCCCCCGGACCACCAGCCCCAGAGAGATCAGGAGAGCAAGAGAGAAGCCCTCAACTGCTAGGAAGTCCCCAACCACACTGAGAACCTCCCCTCCTCACACTGTCCATGCCAGACACCATGAAGAATGGGGGGACCTAAGGAGCCCCGCCTTGCCATGTACCATCAATAAAGTCTCCTGTACTCAGAAAAAAAAAAGAAATTAGTAACAGAGATATCTATGAAAAATCCCCCAAATATTTGAAAACTAAATCATATACTCCTAAATAACTCATGGATTAAAAGAGAAATCAAAATGGAAATTAGAAAGAATCTTACGCTGAATGAAATTGAAAACACAATATACCAAAATGTGTGGAATAGCTCTTAAATAGTATTAGAGGAAATTTTTAGCACTTACTGTCTACATTAGAAAAGTAAGTTCTGGCTGTGCGCGGTGACTCAAGCCTGTAATCCCAGCACTCTGGGAGGCCGAAGCTAGAGGACTGCCTGAGACCATGGGTTCGAGACCAGCCTGGGCAACATGGTGAGACCTCATTTCTACAATAAATTGAAAAAATTAGCTGGGCTTGGTAGTGCATGCCTGTTGTTCCGGCTCCTTGAAAGACTGGGGCAGAAGGATCGTGGAGCCCGGCAGGCCAACCCTGAGGTGGCCCTAAGCATGCCACTGCACTCCTGCCTGGGCAACGGAGTGAGACTCCAACTCAAAAAAAGAAAAAAAGTAATTAAGGTGTATTATCCATGACCTTGCCTCCACCCTAACATACTAGAAAAGAGCAAATTAAACCTAAAATAAAAGGAAAAATGAATAGAGCAGAAATTTGTGGAATAGAAAACAGAAAATAAAGTAGAGAAAAATCCATGAAACTAAAAGGTGGTTCTTTGAGAAGATCAATATAGTAATTATTAAACCTCTAGACAAAATGATTAGGAAAAAAAGAAAGAAAAAGCATAAACTACCAATATCAGAGATGAGAGAGGTGACATCACCACATTTTATATAGATACTAAAAGAATAATGAGAGAACATTATAAACAACTTTGTGCCAATACATTTGTCAACTTAGATAAAAAAAGACAAATTCCTTGAAAGATACAAATTATTAAAGTTCATTCAAGATGAAATAGATAACCTCTGTAGTTTTATATATTTTATATATTGAATGTGTGATATAACTTTTCTCACAAACAAAACCCCAGGATCACCTGGCTTCACTGATGAATTCTACCAAACACTTAAAGAAGAAATAATACCAATTCTACAAACACTCTGTCAGAAATTGAATAGAAGGGGATGCTTAACTTATTTTCTGAGAGCAACATTACAGTAATACCAAAACCAAAAGCATTACAAAAAAAAAGAAAACTATAGACCATGAATCCTCAAGAACATAGGTACAAAAATGTCAAACAACATTTTAGCAAATAAAATCCAAAAATATGTAAAAAGAATAATACATCATGACCAATTAGGATTTATCCTAGGATTAAAAGTTTTGTTAAACATTTAAACATCAATGTAATTCACCATATTAACAAACTAAAAATGAAAAACCACATGAACTTCTCAGTAGATGAAAAAAAATTGATACAGCCCACATTCCTTCCTAATAAAAATAATAATAATCTCAGTAAACTAGAAGCATAAGAAAACTTCCTCAATCTGATAAAGGCTGCCCCAAAATTAAAGATAATATCAAACTTAATGGTGAAAGCCTAATGCGTTCCACTTAGATCAGGGACAAAGAAAAGGATGTCTGCTCTTATTCCTTCTATTCAACATAGTACTAATGACGATAAAGAGTAAAATAAGTAAGAAAGAAAGCAAAAGGCAGAATGAAGAGAAAGAAATGAAACTGTCTTTATTTGCAGACAACATGATCATCTATGTGGAAAACCCAATAGAATCTACAAGGAAGCTTCTAGAACTAATAATTGGATTTAAAAGTTTATAGGATACAAGATCAGCATCTAAAATCATTTGTATTTATATATATTAGTAATACATAAACAGTATTAAATTTTTAAAGCAATAACCATTTATAATGGCATAAAAATGTTAAATACTTAGGAGTAAATATGGCAAAACATGTGAAAGATATGTACACCAAAAATCACAAAACATTATTAAGAGGAATTAAAGATAACCTAAACAATTTTAGAGAGACATGCTGCCTGTGGATGGGAAGACTTAATATTTTTCAGAAGTGAATTCTATGCCAAATGGTTGATGAATTCAGTGCAATTCAAACAAAATTCCGGAATAACTTTTTTATTTAAACTGACAGACTGATTCTTAAAAGTATAGAGAAATGGAGCCGGGCTCGGTGGCTCAGCCTGTAATCCCGCGCCTTTGGGAGGCTGAGGTGAGTGGATTGCCTGAGCCCGGGGATTCGAGACCCACCTGGGCAGCGAGACCTCATCTCTACAATAAATCAAAAAATCAGCTGGGCGTGGTAGCACGTGCCTGTAATTCCGGCTACTTGGAAGGCTGAGGCCAAAGGATCGCCGGAGCCCAGCAGGTCGAGGCTGCGGTGGCCGGGAGCAGCCACTGCACTCCAGTCTGGGCAACAGAGTGAGACTCAACTCAATCAAAAAAAAAAAAAAAACGTATAGAGAAATGAAAAGGACCTCCAAAACAGCCAAAATAACTTTAAAAAAAATAAATGTGGAGACTAACACTACCTGCTGTCAAAAATTAATTGCAAAGCTATGGTAATCAAGACAGTGTATTGGTATAAAGAGAGACACACAAATCATTGGAATAGTACACAATCCAAAAAAAGACTCGTGCATATATGGACAATGGATTTATGACAAAGGTATAAAGACAATTCAGCAGAGGAAATGTAGTCTTTTCAATAAGCAGCTTTGGGTCAATTGAATATATGCAAAAAAAAAAGAGCTTCAATCCATACATCATACTGTAAAAAAAAAAAAAAAAATTAACTCAGAATAGACCTAAATTTAAAAACTAACACCATAAAATGTCTAGAAGAAAACATAAAAAAGCTTTGTAACCTTGAATTAGGCAATAATTTCTTCAAAAAGACATAGAATTACAAGACATAAAAGAAACACATTTGTTCTGGGGAGGATGTGAAGGTGCTGGCACCCTCAGGCTCTTCTGGTATGAATGGAAAATGGTACGACCACTTTGAAAAACAGTTTGGTAGTTTCTCGAGAATTAAACATACACTTACCATATGATTCAGCCATTCTACTCCTGAGTGTTTACCCAAGAGAGATGAAATCATATCTCCTTACAAAGACTTGATAATGAGTGTTCATAGTAACTTTATTTGCAGTAGCTGAAAACTGGAAACAACTCAAATGTCTAGGTGAGTGGATGAACAAATCGTGATATAGACATATAATTGAACACTACCTGGATACATACAGCAATGTAGATGAATCTCAAAATAAATTAAGTAAAAGTATCCAGACCTCCCAAAAAAGAGTACATCCCATATTATTCCACTTACATAAACCTCTCAAAAAGGCAAACTAACCTATAGTGACAAAAGAAGATCAGCGGTTGCTGGGGAGAGAATGGAGACATGAAGGTGGAAAGAAGGGTTCACAGTGAGTCACAAGAAAACTTTTGGGGTGGTGGAAATCATTATTATCTTGATGGTGGAAATGGTTGTAAGGGCATATATATATATATATATATATATATATATATATACGATGAAACTTTCTAAAGTACACACTTTCAATACATGCAGTTTATGTCAATTATACCTCAATAAAAATATTGAAAATCTTCTGTTGCCTGACCGAGGCCTGCCCTCTCCATGGTAAAAGGTAGATTAGCACAGGTTAGAAAATGTTAAAGGCATAACAGCACAGAGCATTTAACCTGGATTGAAAGAGAAATCAAAAAGGAAACACGTTTGCCCACCATGATTCAATGTTATTGCATGCTTTGTCCATAAAACCCTTTAAATCACATCAAATACCAGCGAGTAGGACACCTAGTCATCCCACTCTATGAGAAACACTGAATTAGGAGAACCCTTGTAGGAGTACAGAATGTATTAACAGGTGACTTTATTTAACAAAATTGAGTCTGTGGCCTTGCTTCATTTGGGGGGAACAATGACTCCAGACTGACGGTGCTTTAGTGAGAAACACTAGAGATCTTTCCAGATTCCTATTGACCCATCCTAACTGAGTGATTGTGGCTTTTTGCACTTTCTTCCCAATCTAAAATTCTGCAGATTTTAACAGGTCATTCAATGTTCTGGCCTCTTTCCTCACACCAGGGCAGATATAATGCCTGGTTTCAAGGTAAGGTCTGTAGTGAACGATAAAAGGCAAAAAATACAAGATTTCAAAAGAAGTAGAGAGTGAGTGAGATTTTCCCAGTGCTCTAACAAAATCATAAAGGCCAATCCTTCCTCTAGTTTATCGCTGCCTTCAAAATATATAAGGAATGCACTGATGCAAAATCAAATCACGATATAACATATAGGCTCTGTTCCAGCTATGGGAAGAAGGCAGTCTCCCCCTGAGAACAGACAACCAGCACTCTTCAAGGGCTGACTTGAATGCACATGGGATAACATAACTCAGCATAAGTGATGAAACTGGCTGAGACTGAGAAGACACACGATGGGACAGGTATCAGAGATTTACTTGAGCCATGGAGTTCTGAATTGCTTGCCCTCGTAAAGAGAGAAAATAAAGGCCATTGTTGTTGTCTTCTGTTGCTACTGTAATGAATGACCACAAACTTGCTAGCTTAAAACAACACAAATGTATTGTCTTATAGTTCTGGAGATCAGAAATCTGACACAGCTGGGCTGAAAACCTCATTGTCAGCAGGGTTGTATTCCTCTCTGGGGGCTACAGGGATGAATCTGTGTTTTTAACTTTTCTGGCTTCTAAAGCCCCTGCATTCTGGGCGTCATGGCCCTCTTCCTTCACCTTCAAAGCTAGCAGAGGCGAGCTGAGTCCTCCTCAAATGGCATCACTTTCTCTTCTGTCACTGAATCTCCCTTTGTTTTGTTCTTCCACTTTTTTTCATCTGTCTTCCACTTTTAAGGACTTT